ACACACAAACACACACACAGACACAGACACACACACACACACACAGACAACCTCTCGTCAATATGCATTTTTATTCGCATTGCATTGCTGCAAAAAACGCATAAAAAGTAAAAAATAATAGAAACAAACGAGAGTAGAAAGTGTCGAAAAAGATAGAAATTAATGAGACAAGTAAGAAAAAATTCCGCAAGAGGGATGAGGAGGAAAGAAGAGGAGGTATTCGACCTTAGGTTCAGATATTTTTTAATTTCAAGAAAAGCCCGTCAAGAAAAACAGAAACACTCGATTAAATTTTTATTTTGCAAATCCTCCCAGACGCCAAAGTAGCACACCATAGCCTGTGAGTGATAACGTTTGAGGATTTGGTGCTGATGCCTAGCACACACCGCTAAATCTCCAAGTGGCTAAAGTCTTGTCAAGTACTTCTTTCGGGAGAATCACATCAAACCGATAGTCGTTCAGGAGACGAGAGGAATGTCAGGATCGCTAAAAGGTTGACCATCTGGCGAAGTAGCACTGGCCAAAACAATCATGAAATGAAGAAAGAAATGGCGTGTTTCCCGGCTACATCAGTGACACGCCTTTGGAGAAGCAGCGGCCGTTTCAAGTATTAAATTTCTGTAGATTCTGCAACTGAATTTTCAAAAACGAAACGATTTAAAAAAGAATACAGCAGAAATGAATTACCGGAACTGTCTTTGATTGGAAAGCACAGTATATTTCGTGTAACAAAACCCGTTCGTTCATCCACTTTTGGATAGAAAGCCGGATGGCTGAAAATAGCTACGAACTTTTTATTAAGGCTAGTAGTCGTGAGAAAGACATCCCTCCCCCTGCCCCCCCACTTCTCCCCGGCAGTATTTCAGAGGTTTGCTTTTCTGAATATCCATATTGCTTTCCTGAATATCTAAAGGCAGGTCATGAAAATATACCGTAAAAAGAAGTTTTTATTGAAGAATATATTCTATTCGACAAATTTTATACTTTCGAGTAAAAAAAAAGTTTCCTTTCTCTACTAAGGCTATTGTGAGGCGCGCCTGAGAAACCACGATACTCCACGGCCAGTACAACCCTTCGTGAATCTCCCTCTTCAAATTCTCGCTAGGAATCCCCAGCAGCACACCATGCTTAATATGTTGCTGAATAAAAATTTTTGACCTGTAAAAAACAGTTTACCTGTATGCTTCCTTAACGTTCATCATTTGTCCCGTTGTTGCCACTTGACCAACAATCCCGAGCGATATTGGCATCCGTATTTCGGTGAGATACTCATCGCTGGAACCATTCTTTTCGAATACCTCAGCAACCAGTTCCGAGTTTTCACGATCCAAAAGAAACAACGAACATCTGCAGTGCACCTAATTTACTTTTTTCTAAAATACTTAGCAGTCAACAAATAATATTAGCTGACAAAATCGTAAAAATACTAAAGCAGAAGCATGAAGCGAACTGCTGCATGTTAAGCAACGTCCTGAATGCGAAAAAAAAATAGAAAAATCTGGAACCACTAACTGGCTGGTGCGCAATTTTTCATGATTTTACTGCACACATTTTTATGTAAATTCTCACGATTTTACTACATATCAAAAATGTACATCGTGATTAGGTAAAATTATTAGCATCCCGTATGTTTTTTTTGCCAAACACTGCAGCTTATAAAAAAAAAGCCACTTAATCGCGACTGCTTTCCGATGCCGCGTTGCTATTTGTATTAAAATTCTTTGCTCTGCAAATCCTACATCAAAAAAATCGTGGGAAGAGGAAATTCTGGTAAGTACGATGATTTTAGTTTAAACAACGCGAATTCTGAACTTACATTTCGGCGTGCACGAGAGTTTTCGCTTCTTTTGTTATGTTGCGCACCAACAGGTTCATATCTTCTGAAAGAAATCAGAGAATTGCGCACCTCATCGAGGAGGATTTTCTACTTCCGCACACTTTTAAAATTTCAGAGTGATCGAATAATTTAATGCTAAAAAAGTACAGTGAAAAACATTTCTAGGTAAAAACAGCATTAACCGTGCATTTTTCAAAAAAAGTTAACAACCACCCAAGTAGTCACGGGGCGATGCATTACAGGTGCAGCAATGAGCGATATAACCAACTGCGATTTCAGTTTGTTCTTAGCGATACTATCAAGGCAGAGTTCACCAAACTGAGTTGGGCTGGGGCCACGTGGCAAAAATCACAAACAATAGATCGCAAAGCTCATGAAATGTTAAAAGAACACAGGAAAGACTGTCAGTGTAATGGGATGATCCTCGACTGATTATATTGGATTAGGTAAGCAAAAGAAACCCGAAAAACAGAAGAATGGAGAAATTGCCAGTTGTAACAACCGTGAAAAGAAGTGAAACGGTGAAAAAACATCTCAACGAAGTATCAAAATTAAAAATATAAAATAGTGATAAACGGAAAGTTATTTGGCGATTGTTGAAAAAGCGTTGGAACAGCTTTCTCTAAAATGGCTACGCTAGTGCCGATTACACAAACTTATTCCAAAAGGGCTGGGAACAGTAGCATCAGTTTCGCGTTCTGCTTTAGTGCAACTTCTAGGGACAACCAGTCTTCTACGACTGGTTTGATTTTTCCACCGGGAAGTTGCACCCACATGTCTGGCATCCCACTACACCGTCCAACTCTCTCTTGCCACATCACTGTAAAGACGACGGCAAGTTGCGCAAAGGATACTTTTATTTTTCCACATTTTTAAAAAGTCCTGATAAAAATGCAAAATGGCTGTTTAGCTTGCCTTCCACGAACTTTTAAAAAAAAGGCTAAGTGCTTCCTATCGCTGAAAATGGCCCTATACCTCCTTGTAGGTGAAATCCAAGACAGGAACGAGGGGTGGAGGGGGTGAAATCTATAAATAATTTATCGCTCGGCTAAACAAGCCAGCCTGAAAAGAGCTAACTCAACACGGGCTAACCGTTTAGCAGGCATGTCGACACATTCTTCTTTCGAGATTGCTTACAAGCAAACTGAAGGTGGGTTTGGGCACCCGGCAAACCGATTTACCATGAAAACAAGTAAACAAGGGATTAGCTGTCCATCTGGCGGAATAGAACTTTCGAGCTACATCAAAAAAGAAGCTCGAGAAAAAAAAACGAGTAAAAAAAAGTCTTTGTTCCAGAGAATAAATCGTACGTAAGCTGGAGAAAACATTCTGTGCCATTGAGAGGAACACTTCGGATTGTCGAGCTAGACGTTTTTGCTCTTCAACATTCGCTACAATTGACAACAGCGTCGCAATCAGGTGCAAATGAGGCATAATAATATGGCGCTCCGTGTCCGCCGTACTGAAAATAATCGATATGCAAAATGCACTAAAGATTTCCGCAAAAGCTGTTTTGCGACGCTTGCAAGTGCATTTCAGATGCAGAACAAGAATATTTCAACGCCTACGAGGAATTCGCGTTGTTCCACACAATCCAGGCAGAGGAACTGTGTCTTTCTCCTTTAAAGGGAAATCTCGGGAACATGGACTGCAACACCATTCAAGAGGACGAAGGAGTACAAATCTGGCACAAGAAGACGAGGAATTTTTCTTTTTTGAGGATAACTGGGAAGCAAGGGGGGAAGAGGAGGCGGGGGAGGGAGGTGACAGTGGATACTGGAATTCAGGCATGGGCCAATATCCATGCCTGTGAAAAGATAAGGCACACTTTGAAATTTATTTCTGCTACTAGGAACAAACGTATCAAAATAAATAATAAGCGATTTGAGTGCCTGGATACTGCTTAGAAGGACTGCAGCCCGGCAGAGCGAAGTATGGAGGAATGCTAGGAAGAAGGTGGGGTAGGGAAAGGGAAAAGAAGGCTGGTGCCAGCATTGGTAAGGAACCTCCAGGAAGACCAAAAATCGGCCGAAAAAATGAAATAAAAAACGGGCGAAGAATATTTAGGCTAAAAAAAGAAAGAGAAACAAAAAAAAAGTATTTAGAACAAGTAGCTGGCTGTATTTCGAAAAGGGCACTCCAGTTCATCGTTCTCTGACCAGGATCATATGAGTTCTCTACCCACTTTCAGCTTAGACACCACTTCCTCAGAAGATCACTTTGGTACCACTTGGAAAGGACACTTCCTAGAAAACGATGAAACTTTTTTACAGGTCATTTAGATAATGGAGGCCTTTGCATATGTGTGCGCTTGTGTCTGTCTGTTTGTCTGTCTGCATGTCCGAGAAATCAATTCAGGAGAACAGTTATATAAAGCTGAGATTTTGGAAATAATTTTTTGAAAAAAATGAAGAATGGATGGACGGGGCGAATTACTGAATGATATCGACCAAATTTAAAAAAAAGCGATGTCATCAATGTATGAACAAAACGAATATTACTGAATGCTGAGTGGAACCTATACTGAATGGTACCTATGCAATGTTAAAAGAACGCAGGAGTGCGACCAATTGATGGATGAAACCAATTACTGAATGAATGCTACCTAGCAATATCAAAATAATGCATGGAAGGTTGCTACGCAGTTGAACTCCTGCACAAAATTATGTGAATGAGAGAGGCTCAAAATAGAGAAGAATGGAGAATCTGCCAGCTGCATCGATGGCGAGAAGGAAGCTGCTGACGAAATAAAAGCATTCAAAGTGAAAGACAATTTTGAATTATGCATAACGTCACAAATCTGGGAACAATTCTGAGCCCCACCAGCGTGCTATTGTCTCTGATCTCTAGTGTACAAGCCGAACATTACAAAACAGGTGTACAAACAATACTTTAATATCAAATGCTAAATTTTACTTGGAAATATTAAAGATTGAAAGTAAGTGTGAGAATATTTTGCACTTTAAATAAATATATTTTGCACTTTTCTCAAAAGATTAATTTATTGCAACAAAAAAGCAGACAGTTGAATTAGTCAGCGTTCTTTTCAAACAGTTTCTTTCAGAAAAGATTAATTTTTCACAAGAATTAAGTTGACGATTACGTCTATCTGGGTCATGGTGTCCTTACAAAATTAATTTATAGCAGAAATAAATTGACAGCTAACGCAACCCCGACCAAAGGTGGTTATGCTCAACAACCTTTACTAGGGCAGCACATTTCATTTAAAGAATTTCTCATCGCAAAAAATTATAACAAAATTAAAATATAAACTGTATCAAAATTAAAGATAAAATCTAAGTCGAAGTGGCCAAGTTGAGGGGACAAAGGGAAATTAGATTATTTGAAGGAGAATAGAGATTTTAGGGCTAGGGTCACAGATTTTAAGCGAGGAGAGTAGGGAGATATTTTTACGATGCCTTGACCTCAGAATTTGAATTTTACAATCCTAGGGAGCTATCTTTTTCAATTTATCAAAAATCAAAAATCTCCCCTGTATTCACTTTCACTAAAAGACCAAAGTAAACTCAAAGAGTAGCCCAAGCAGTAAAAAATTTCAGCAGCAACTATTTGCTGGCATGGCTGTTGATGTCTCCCTCTTTCGAGAGTTGCTTACAGTCAAGTTGAAGGTCGGTTTGATTTCATGGCATATGCCAATACCAATTTGCCATCGAAACGAATGAATGAATCGCAGAGGGAGAGGGTTGTTTCAAACTCTCTATAATTCATAAAGATTGATGAATTGAATAACTGAATGAAAAACCAGCTTTCAGAATCATGAGAACAAAAAAATTTCCTACCTTTCATTTCGATGCATTAATATTAAACTGGCAACGAAATTACTGCGAGCTTGAAGCAAGAAGACGGTGCCACTCAACAGCGCACCACCGTCGATATCCTTCTCGTCCTGCACTATGCTGTATATTTTTTCCCGAAGTTCCTGCAAAAGTTTTAGGAGTTACATGGAAGACGCAGAAAATAAAAGTCATATGTTTTAATAAGTCACATGGGAAAGCAGTCTGTGTTTCAACTCTGAGCTGTAAACACATACAGAGCTCCGTGTATCGGTAGGACTGCAAATTATCGGTAAACTTCTTCATGTGTTGATTGAACATATGACTAGTTCGGAAGACAAGTAAAAGACGAGAATGATTCAGGCAAAAAAACAGGAATGAGAAGACAGAAAAACGAAGTAAAAAGCCACCAAAGATTTTCAAAAAAGAGTTACATGGATCTTTTTTAGTTCAATGAATCGTCAAAACTGACAAAATGCATCAATCTCTATTACAGCGGTAGTTCAGAAATGATATGGTTTCAACACTGCTTCGATGGTAAATTGGTATCGGCACATGCCAAGGAGTACAATTCGTCATCAGCTACCTCTAAGCAATGCAAAAAGAGTGAGTCTTTGCAGTGAGCAGTTTTTTTT